TGGATTTCTCAGTTAAACACCTTTGAACCATGCCCAATATTTTTTATTAATCAGGAACAAAAGTTCCAGATTGAGAAGCTTCAATGATGAGGGAAGTTTGAAGTTGGGCCTGGAGAGAAGAAGGTTAAGAGGAGATTTGATAGAGGTTTTCAAAATCATTAGTGGGCTGTACAGAGCAGATAGGGAGATGCCTTTCCCATTGGTAAAAGGAACAAGAATGAGAGGGCATAGATTTAAAGTGATTTGCAAACGAAGCAAGGGTGATGTGAAAAAAATACTTTCACCCAGCGAGTAGTCAGGGGATGGAATGCACTGCCTGGAAACATGGTGGAGACAGGTTCATTTGAGGCATTCAAAAGGATAGGTATGTGGATATAAATGGTGTGTAAGGCTAGGGGGAAAAGGCAGGAGATTAGAACTAGATCATGACACTTATATGAAAGAGTCAGTGCAAGCACAATAGGCCAGATGGCCTTGTTTTGCACTTTCACACTTCTGTGACACTGGGAACATTTTTCAACAAAATTTTTTTTTGAAAAGCACAATTTTATTTTAAACCACTATGATTTTTCCCCCAGGTCAACCCTCATAGCAGTGTTTTGGAGATTAATTATTGTCAGAGACTTCAGCAGCACTGCTGCCTCACAGTGCCAGGGACCCAGGTTCGATTCCGCCCTCAGGTGACTTTCTATGTGGAGTTAGCACATTCTCCCCGTGCCTGCGTGAGATTCCTGCAGGTGCTCCGGTTTCTTCCCACAGTCCAAAGATGTGCAGGCTGGGTGGATTGGCCGTGCTAAATTACCCATTGTGTCCAGGGATGTGCAGGTTAGGTGGATTGGCCATGCTAAATTACCCATAGTGCCCAGGGATGTGCAGGCTAGATGGATTGGCCATGCTAAATTACACATGGGAAATGCGGGGTTACAGGGATAGTGTAGGGATGTGGGTCTGGGTGGGGTGCCCTTTGGAGGGTCAGTGTGGACTTCATGGGCCGAATGGCCTGCTTCCATGCTGTAGGGATTCTATAACTCTATGACTTCAGGACAATCCTGTTGGGTGGGAACTCTAGATGCCAGGTAGGAGATGATGAAGGGAGACAAAGTTGCTTGGGGAGACAGTGGTAGAGTAGTAATGTCCCTAGACTAATGCTCCGGGGCCCTACCTGGTGGAATTTAAATTGAATGTTAAAAAAAACTGGGAATAAAAGCTAGCCTCAGTAATAGTGACCATGGAACTATCATTAACCCTGGAACCATCTAGTTCACCAATTCCCTTTAAGGAGGGAAATCCTTCCTTCGTCTGGCCTACATTTGACTCTAGATGCACAGCAATGTGATTGACTGTCAACTAGTGTCGGAAATTGCCTGACAGGTCACTTAGCTCAAGGACAATTAGGGATGGAAAATAAATGCTGATTTTACCAAACAGACCCATGTCCTCTAAAGGAATAAAGGAAATAAAATGAACATGAGTGGTTTAGACAAGTAAATAAAAAAAATTGTTGCCATTGGCAGCAGAATGGAGAAGCACAGGATATTCATTTAAAGTGATTGGCAAAAGGAGTATGGTGACATGAGAAAACATCTTTTATGTAGCAAATTGTTAGGGTCTGGAATGCACAGCTTGATAGTACGGTGAATACAGGTTCCATTGAGACTTTCAGAAGAGAATTGGATACTCACCCAACAAGAAAATAAAAAATGCAGCGTTTTGGAGAAAGGATGCAATATGCAAAGCTACTCTAACAGAGAACAGGCAGAGACAGGATGGGCCAAATGGCCTCCTGTGCTGAAATCATTCTATGATTCTATGTCTGACATAATGGCTGTCATTTTTGCTGGACCTGGAAACTGAGCAACATTTAGGGCATGTAGTTAAACTCCATGACCAGTGTACAAGACACAAGAGATGGCTAACAGTTTTCTGCGTGAATCTTGAAACATTAACTCTGTTTCTCTCTCCACAGATGCTGCCAGTTGCACTGAATTTCACCAGCGTTCTCTGTGCATATTTTATATGGCTGTAGACTTTTCTATTTATCCTCAGCACATATTTCACTTCCTCCTTCTGTATCTTGCTGTTTCTCTTCATAGTGGCCCAATGATCAAATCTGTGTGAATAGAACTAAATGAGTCAACACAAAATTGGATTGGCTGCAGTTATGATAGAGGGCTTTCGCTGCAGCTATGAATCATGGGATAGCCTGCCTCCATTCGATCAAGCTCCCTGCAGCATGGGGATCGTAATACACAATTGCAGCATGCTCAATTAACATGATGCAGGCAGCACACACACCTCCTTCACCTTCCCATCACATAGGACCATAAGATATAGGAGCAGAATTAGCCCAATCGGCTTATTGTTCCTGTTCCGCCATTTGATCATGGCTGATATATTTTTCAACCCCATACTCCTGCCTTCTCCCGTAACCCTTGATCCCCTTACTAATCAAGAACCTATCTACCTCTGTCTTAGATGCACCCAATGACTTGGCCTCCACAGCCCTCTGTAGCAATGAGTTCCACCCACTGACTGAAGAAATTCCTCCTCATCTCGGCTCGAAAGGGTTGTCCCTTCACAATGAGGTTGTGCCCTTGGGTTATAGTCTCTCTTTCTAGTGGAAATATCTTATGCATGTCCACTCTATCCAGACCTCTCAGTATTCTGTAAGTTTCAATCAGATTCTCCCCTCACCCTTCTAAACTCCACGGAGTACAGACCCAGAGTCCTCAACCGCTCCTCATATGACAAGCCCTTCATCCCCAGGATCATTCTTGTAAATCTCCTCTGGACCCCCTCTAACACCAGCACATCTTTCCTTAGGTATGGGGCCCAAAGCTGCTCACAATATTTAAGATTACAGTTTGAGCCCAGTGTGAAATGCAGTACTGACTGGCTGCATGCTCAGCAGGAGATAAAAGTGCATTTGCTCATATTTCCTAAAGGTAGTCTATATCTCTTAAACTGGGGGTACATTCAGGCTGCAGTAAGTGCTGGAACTGACGACTTCAGAGCACAATTTGGATGGACAATGGTGCAGCAGGAACTCCCACATTTTTGCTGTGGCATTGGACAGTATTTCCTTTAAATTGTTTGGTAGTTTGCAGCCTATCTGATGGCCACACACAAGGCAGCCCTTTCAAGTTACTACATCCACGGCCACATAAAAAAATTTAAAGAGGCATTGCAGCTAAACAAATTGCCTTCACAATCCCAAATAAAGACAGCCAGTTGGCACTGGAGGCCTAAATCCATAAGGTAGAAAGGCAGAGAGAGATTGTGTTTCTATAAAAGGCCAGGAGACCCTCAAGACTCAGACTGCAAAGACAATGTGAGTCAGTGGCCTGAAAGATCAGTTTGAGATGTCTATGACCTAGTGGCCTTGTCTGCAGTGCTGCAGGAATTTTAAATGACCTCCCTTCAGTCATCAGGGTCAGTGGATGTAGCTTCAAATGTTACCTTGCACTACCACACCACTATCTTCATATGCTGCACTTTCCACTACACTTCATCAGTCACTAGTCAGAAATCACATTTACCACTGCCACCAACCTCCTACCCACATCTCACAGCTTCCACATGCTTCCAAGCTGCTGCTAAGACAGGAATATAACTCAACTACATTACAACTCACTGACACTTCTGTTTTGCCAGGAGAGGTTGCCCAGGACAGATGGCAGCAGCAGGGAACTGGTGGGGAACAGTGTTACGGCCAGGCCCTGGGTGATGTTCCCCAAGTTGTTATGGTTCCAAATGGATCTCAGTTGTGTTACAACCAGAAGGCGGCCATTCAGCCCATCGTGCCTGCATAGGCTCTTCAAACGAGCATCATTACAGCAAATCCGTAAGCTCCTGGATGTGGAGGGATGAACTGACTCCCCTTCTTCATTCATCTGCAGTCCCCTCGCCTGCCACACAACTTGATTAATCACAACAAGATTAATTTAGAAAGGGCCCCTCCTTTGTGGATGACTTTCTCCCAGGTCAAGTGAATTTAAAAGGAGCCATTTTCACAAGGTTTTCTTGAATTAACAAAAGGGCAAGTTTATTATTTACAAATGTGAGAAGAATTAAGAACATCACACACATACAGATTGGCAATAAGACTGAGTCCATTAAAAAAAAAGGTAAAAGATATGTAGATAGGTGTCTTGGGGGTCATGGAGTGTAGGTAGAGGAATGTTGATATCTTCCGGTCCATTTTGGGATTCTAGGCTTTGCAGTTTGCTAAGAACTATTTGTCCTGTTTCGATGGTAGTTGGCTGGCAGTGTTCAGAGCAAGAGTCCTCCTTGTCCTGTTTTTTTCTAATTTGCTTGGTGGTTAGTTGGCTTCTAGCACTCAGCAAGAGACTCCTTTTATCTACAATGCAGGGATGACTAGTTTGTGATTCTTGGACTGTGAACCCAGCCATGATGCATTTCTGATGGCGCAAATGGTCTGGCATTCATTAAAAACAAAAGAGCCACGCAATGGCCAGAATTTATTTTGAATTACAGACTTTGCCCACCTCTCTCCAGCAGTTGGAGAAAGAATAGGGACTTCTCACGTCACTTCAGTGGGGGGAGAGGTCAGGAGGGGAGGAGCCAAATGCTAAAGCGGTGTCAGAGGCAAGGGAAGGCTGCAGCAATTGTTTTGTGTTTCCTTTATGGTATAAAGGAGAACGATCCCAACTTCTCATTCCTCCATAAGGCACAAGTCCCTTAATTCTTTGTATTTCATAGCTCATTCCTGGATATCCATTGACCAAGTCATTCCTCTGTTCCCAGAGTGAAGTGAGCCTGTTGGAGGTCATGCCTCACTCATTCCCCTCTACATTTTCCATTCATTATGGGCAGAGAGAAAGGAGATGAATTCCTGCAATGTGCTCCCGCTGGGAAAAGCTCCACCTTTGGAGATGAACTTGTGGAAGTTAGCCTCATTATTTCTCCTTGAACATTAAGTCACAGGAATAACTGGGCCATCTGATAGCTCAATGACTTCTTCGCGTTTGCATTTGTAGGTGGGCCTGTCAGCAGGGACCATCCTCTTCCTCGTTGGCCTAGCAACAGTCACTACCGGCTACCTGGTGCCCCCGAAGATCGAAGGTATCGGGGAGGCTGACTTCCTGGTGGTGGACAGGCGTGCCATTGAGTATAATGAGGCGCTGGAGGTCAGCAAGCTGGTCGGCGCCATCCTCTTCAGCATGGGAGGAACGGCAATCGCAGTGTGCATTCTGGTTCTGACCCTTTCCAGGCACGCCCCCAGAGACGAAGAGAGACAGTTTTCACCCATTCTAAAGGGAGGCCCACTTGAAACAAAGCACAAAATGGCTGTAAAAACTGGGTTGCCAGGGGACACCCAAATCCCTGTTAGTTTGTCAAGAGTACAAAGCATCCAACCCAAGACAGGAACCTGAGGGGCCAGTGCCCAAGCCCTTTATGAAACAGGTCTCCTTTACGATGTGAATTCCAGTGTGAAGTCTTGATCAAATGGTCACACTTTCATCGATAGGCTTTAAGAGGTGTTTCCTTACTAATGTGAAAAGATTTCTGGCTGATCTGAATATTCAGGGCCCCAGCCCTTTCCTATCCCCAATCCTGCATTTCACTAATCCAAGGGTGTTTCAATTTAACATCTTTATCAGCAAAATCTGCCATCTTGATTTTTTTTTCTGTTCTCTTGCACGTTCTTAATTTCCAACACCACCACTGGCACTCATATCTTCCACTACCTGGGCTCTAAACTCTGGAATAAACACTGGAAATCTGAAATTGATGGAGAAACCCAGTGGGTCTGGCAGCATCTGTGCAGAGAGAAACAGAGTTAACGTTTTGAGTCTGATATGACTCTTCTTCAGAACGCAAAACAGTAACTCTGTTTCTCTCTCCAAGATGCTGCCAGACCTGCTGAGTTTCTCCAGCATTCTCTGTGCTTTTTTTCTCCCAAACTCTGGAATTCCCTTCCTAAACATCTCCACATCCCTCAGCTGCTTTTCAGCGTTGCTTAGAATCTACCTCATCAGCTAAGTTTTCGATCACCTGTCCTTATACTCCTTATCTGCCTCAATACTCAATATTGTTGCATTCAGATTTCTTTGAAATGCTTTGGGACTTCTGACAATGCTAAGACAATACATAATAGAACTTAGTGTTGTTGCTGCTGATTTCCTTAGTTTCCATCATCAGCATTCTTCAAGAGAGATGATTTTAGCGAGAAGAAGAATATAATGATGTTATGAGTCATGATATCCCATATGTTCCATGAATGTCTTGGTAACTTAGCTAAGCCTTGAACAAACTGCCATCCCCTTTAATTACCAATTGTAATTGCTGACCGTGTGGTAATTCAGGAGACAGAAATGAGAACTAAATCCATTGGCAAATCAATTAGCTTTTTAGCTTAAAGAAATTTTGTAGCCATTGTCAAGGTTTTGCTTAGGGCTTTTGTGCGGTGGTAGTGTCCCTGTCTCCAAGTCTTGGATGCACAGATTCCAGTCCCACCTGCTTCAAAAGTATGTAATAGCATCTCTGAACAAGTTGATCAGGAAATATATCCAGATTCTTGCCTGGGGGCCTTTTGATTCTTTAATACGATTGCAAATTTTTCTTCCGCTCCCCACGAAAGACACAACATAATGCAAGCAAGTGGCTTAGAATGATAATGCAGAGCTGCTCTGGATCACTGTCAAGCTTGCCCTTAAAAGACCTCTTCGCACCTAGACTCTACTGCCTGAAAAAGCAGTGGAAGCAGATTCATTTGTAATTTTCCAAAGATATTTTCATTTTGTTGGGTGACCAAAAAGTCAATTGCTACAAATATGTTAATTGCAAATAAGGATTCTGGATAAATTTCTTGTTTCAGAACTCAAGAGCATTGCACCCAATTTTGGAATGTAAAATCCACCATACGGCCTGTTTCTGTGCTGCCTATTCTATATATTTCTCTGGAAAAAGGAATTGGATATATCCATGAAAAGGAGAGATTTACAGGGCGCTGGGATAACAGCAGGAGTTTGGGTCAAATCAAACTGTTCCTAAAACATACATAGGAGCAGTGGTAGGCCATTCAGCCCATCAAGTCTGAACCACCACCCAATCCTGATCCAATAACTCTCAACTCCACTTTCCTGCTTTTCCTCTTTAACTTTCAATTCCCTAACTGATGAAAAATCTGCCTGTCTCAGTCTTAGATATCCTTAATGTTTTAGTCTTGACTGCCGTCTGCGGCAAAGAATTCCACAGATTCACTACCACCTGAGAGAAGGAGTTCCTCTTCATCTTTATCTTAAGTGTGCAACCCCTTACTCTAAGTTTATGTGTTAGCACTGACAAGATGGATGGAATAGCCTCCCTTTGTCTATTATTCTCTGCTTCCTTGAGTCCAGATTTCCATGATCCAGTGACTAGTTTTCCATTTCAGAGCACATTCTGCTGCTCAAAGTGTGTGGTCTGTGATCCAAGTCACTACAGATCTTGTGTCAAGTGAGAGCTGATTGGACATGGTGTCTTGTGCTATGGTTACCCACCTCAGTAAGCTGTTGTGTAGATGGTATCAGACTTTACTTCCTTGGCAAGAGTGACCACTCAGGGTGCTGAATCTCCCAGCAACGCAACAGTGATATACACCAGAGCTAAGGAACAGACACGTGCGACCCTCTCATCTCAAGAAAGTGTGAGGCATGTGGAGATCTATCGAGAAAAGAATTGGACTGGTACTGACTGTGTCTTTTATTGGGTCAGAACATCTTGTTAGCTCTGAGGCCTGTGCTGGAGGCCATCTCGATGTTATGAGGTGATTTTATTCCCCATTTTGGGTGCATATCAAATTCCCTTTGAAAGTGCTGCTTTTGACAAGCTTTTAAGCAGCTCATCCCAACTCACCTCTTAAAATACAGTCTTCATTGTCCCTCTGTTTTGTTTTGAAACCTCTCTTTGATTACTGACCTCTCACTGGTGGAACCACCTCTTTATACATACTGTAAGAAACCCCACACAATTCTGAATATCGCCCCCTTAAAGTCATAAAGTTCTACAGCACAGAAAAAGACCCTTCAGCCCATTGCATCTGCGTAGGTCAAAAACCAACACCTAACTATTCAAGATAACAAGGTGTAGAACTGGATGAACACAGCAGGCCAAGCAGCATCAGAGGAGCAGGAAAGCTGACGTTTCGGGCCTCGACCCTTCTTCATTTTCTGAAGAAGGGTCTAGGCCCGAAATGTCAAC